CTACAGACAGCCTTCAAAGCAGTCCAGCTTGCCAAGGATTCTTAACCTGAGAATCTGTGGATTGATTTCAGGGAGTCCGTGAACTTGAATGGATAAAAATAAAACTACATCTTTCTACCCACCAAGCTATGTATGCTTATGTATTTTATTTATACATTTACAAATATAATTCTGAGATGGGGTCTTCAAGCTTCACCAGACTGCCAACGGGAATGTTGGCACACTTTTAAGTTTATGAGGAATTGGGATATGAGTGTTCATAAAAGCACCCCTACATATACCATTGTGAGGAAGTAGTAGAGAGATCATGCTTCTGTTCTCTGACAAAGGGGTTCATGACACAGAAAAAAGTTAAGAAGGCCCAAGGTAACAAGTTTGGTAGGTTTTGTACACATGACACAAAAATGTACAAGGGTCATTTTTTAAATGAGATATTGGAGAACAAATTGAAGTAATCAGATACAAGTAGGTTATATTTGTGTTCACACAAATGGCAACAGGAAAAAAAGTCTTCTATTACTCTTACAAACACAAGGTTATTATATGTGCCCCCCTAAATACATATGGATGGGTTGTGCATATCTCCATGAGGTGGAGTTCCATTTAATATAGCTCCTAGAAGAATACAATTACATTTGCTTTAAGATTGCTGTGGCATGGTATAATGGATGGGCAGCTGGCCTTGCAGTCAGGAGATATGAGTTGAAGTCCTGATTTTAACCGTCTTTAACCCTCTTCACTAGCTGTGTGACTATGGACAAATGGGCAATGAACTCCCTCATCTATAAAAAATGAGGAAGATGGTTCAGATTCTTAAGATCTAGCCTGCTTGCATTTGTGATACAAATGCTCAGATTCTTTAAAAGTCTAGGCAAGGGCTCAGATTTTTATAATCTAGCCAATAGCTCATAAATGTTTAGATTCCTTTAAGAGTCTGGCCAGTATTATGGATCTTTAATACACCTTGTCTTCGACTGAAAGGCTTGGGTCAAATTTATTTGGGCAGGACCCGTGTGTCTTGATTTTGGGGTCCCAGCACCCCTAACATTTAAACCTCAACATTTTTGGTTCCCTGACCAGGCTAATCCCAAGCTCTTCTCCAGCCAAGACTGGAAGGTATGTAAACCAACCTCCCCACCACCCCCAACTCTGGCCTCTCCCTAATTCCTTTCTTGCCCTGAAGTTGGTAGATTTCCAAGCACCTAGGAAGGCTTGGTTTCAAAGTGCTTTTTGGGTCTGACCTCTCAGGTCCCATTAGGTCAGACAGCTATGAATCTGTCTCAAATTCAGCCTGACACTTTCAGACTCTTGGTCCAGTGGTTCTGTTTGAGACCATGCACTTGGGAATACCTTTGGACTCCCTATCTTGGAAGCATAGGCCTGATCCTCCCAATTCTCTCAGCACTAGGGAACTGGGAAAACTGCAGGTACTTTTTGGTTCCCTGAGGCTTACTTACTCCCTCCCTCTATACCGCTAGATTCTCCTTCATGGAGGCTACAGGGAAAAGTCAGAACAGCTAAAAACATCTTAGCAGATTCTGGAGGTTTTGTGATCCATCATTAAGGAGTTTTGAAACACCTCTTTACCCTGGTCACTCCCTTCTCCCACTCCCTTCCCTTGAGTCAAGAGGGTATCTGTTAATCCCTGTCACAGGAGGAGAGAGTTTCACCCTCCTCCCACCTCTGAATTTGCCCTCCCCCACCTGGCAAAAGGAAGGAGGGGGGAGGGGCAGCAGCTACAGCATGGACCCCACTGGCAATGGTCTTGGGCTCTGGGGCAATCTTTGCCTGGAAGCATCACCTGGGTTCAGCATATCCTGCTCAGTCTCTGAGCTTGGGTAAGCCCACTTATTTAAAGTTGCAGTTTTAACTGTTACTGATGAGATGTTGATTCTCTGTGTAAAGTAGTTTGGAAATGCATTTAACAAAACTGAAGTCACCTGATTGGTAATGGGTTTGTTTCAAGTTTCAAACTGGTAAACATCAGTTATGTCAAGCAACTTGTCATAATTTGATTACAGCTAAAACAATTGTTGGTTATTGTTTTAATGTATAAACTTGCCAAAAAGCTTGTCTGGGTTATGGCTTGCTGAGAATTTGCAAGTTAATAGAAATAATCTCTAATGATTGGCTTTTCACACCAGGACAAATTTAAATTTGAGATGTAAATCCTGGAAAAGTTTTACCTAAGCTGTGATTAGTGAAACTTGCTGTTTGAGATAAAAGCTCATGGTACCATAAATTATTTTATTTTGAGTTGTTTAATGGATCATAATAATCGATCAATAATCAAGAAATCCACCATCTCTGAGAGAAATGCCATAAGCTACTCAGAGAAAATGTGACACTGGTGGGAAGTCAACATCAGGAAAAGCTGAGAGGACAATTTTAGCCTCAGTTTAGGATGGAATCCTCCTGGCTCAGTTTCCCCATTATGTTCCTTTGAAAAGGAATGTTACCCACCTGGCTATTCCTGAGTCTGGCTATAAGGTCGATTTGATACTGCATGGTTGGAAAACTGAATTATATGAATTCAAGCAGAGCTAAGGATGTTTTATCCTGAAATATCTGGGCCCTAAATCTAGTCCCTGCTTTATCCTTTTATAGCAAATTTCTATAATCAGAGCAAGTGGTCAGTAAAAGATTAATGCAAGTGCGTGAGATCTTGCTGTTTTGACCTGAATGTGTAGTCATTCAATACAATTCATTCAATTCAAACAAATGAAATTAAATCATAAATATCTTCAGTTTGGGTTGGAGAGAATTCAGTGTTAACTGAAGTGAAAGTCAGTCTCTGTCAAATTCATTTGGGTAACTATGGGGTAGAAAACTTCTACCTGCAAAAGTGTTATTTAAACTTTTGAAAAAGTAACAAGGTCCTGCAGGTCAAATGTAAATGATTTTAATGGGGCTCTTATACTTTTGCTTCTCCCTATATCTGGAACCTGCAGTCTTTTCTGTCAGATTTGTGTCTTCCAGACTACAAATCATTCACGTAGAGTTGGTAGCAAACAGTGGGTACCAGCCAATGTTCCCCCATTGTCCCCTAGATGCAGCCTGTTCTCTGTTCCAGTCAACCTCTTCTTTGGGATCCCTTTGAGTCAGGGACAGCTCTACACCCCTTGACAGCAGGAAGCAGTTTCTGAAGCCAAGACCTTTGCCCCTTACCACAAGAGAATTTGAGTCCCATTTGTTTGAGGGGGGGAATTACAGGGATTGGATCTGAACCCATAAAAGGAAAAGAACATATCTTTGGGATCTGGACCCCAAAAAGGAAAAACCTTGGACTTTCCCACATGGCCAAATCTCTGGCATATGCCTGAGGCTGTAATCCATTCAACTGACCTTTCATTGCAGCTACACCCAATCTTCCAATTCTGTTTTGTTATCTCCTCATTGCCCCTGGCCAGTTCCCACCCTTAATCTTATCTAGACTCCATTCTCCCTTGGCCAAGTGGTCCAGGTCCCTGGCATTCTGTTCACCCCAGCTTACTGGCCACTCCCACCCAGATCTTCCTTAGACCCCTCCTCCAGTAACCCCAGACTACTTGGCCACTCGAGGATCCCTCCCACAGTCTTTCTGTATATAAGATTCATCTTGCCTCAATTAGGGTGCTCAGATTCTTAAGATCTGGCCTGCTTGCATTAGCAATACAAATGCTCAGATTCTTTAAGGGTCCAGCCAAGGGCTCAGATTTTTATAATCTAGCCAATAGCTCACAAATGTTAAGATTCCTTAAGTCTGGCCAGTATGGGTGATCTTTAATAAATCTTGTCTTTGGCTGAAAAAAAAACCCAAAAAACGAGGAGGATGACATTTGAACAACCTACTTTGAAGTGCTGTTCACTCCAACAATAGTCATTTATTAAGTATCAACTACATACAAGGCACCGTGCCCTCATGGAGCTTGCACTCTCCTAGAAAAGAACAGACACAGCTAATATGAAATAATCTGAAGATGGACATAGCACGAACAACTGGGAAAATTAAGGCTTCCTAAAGGAAGTGGCACCTGAACTGAGTCTTGGAAAAACTGCCATGAGAAAAACATTGTAAACATTAGAGTCTAACACCAGAATCTATGATGTGGATTGTAAGCAATTACCATCTAAGGAAAATACTGCAGTTCAAATATGTCTTGTTCTAAGGTTGAACACCAGTTCTTACATTTTCATGAGAAAGTTTCCTCTGAGCATTTTACTGCTGAGGAAGCAACTTGGGGAGGAAAATAATTAATCCCAATTCTGAAGGGCCATTTAAAGGTAGCCCCGACCTAATGGCACTGCTTGTGTACAGTGAAGAATGGTGAATGGGACAACAGCCACTTTGGTATAGAAAGTATTAGGATGTCATAGGAGAATCAATCACTGTGGTGAGCTGTGCATTACTTATTCTATTATAAGAGGACCAAATAAGAAAAGAGTGAGTGAGAGGTACTGAGATGGACCACTGTGTTTGCCTTGAATCTCTTTTCCCTACATCAGCACACAGTTGTCTGTGTAGGGGCATGCTCACATACATTTGCCTGATCCTCCGACCAGGATGCTTTGATATGGCCCTTCATGGCCTCCCACTGCAGAGAAAGTAATGGCCAAAGCTTTGTGGTCAGGTTCATGCACTAAGCATTCTGCTCTGTGCTTATTGTTTAGAAAACTGAGCATCACTGTCATTTTGTTATGCTTCTAAAATACTGTAGTGGTTCTTGGTCACCTATGGAGCCAAGATCTTATATATCAAATTGTACAAGGAACATAAACTCCTGGGTTTTAACTGTAGAGGAAATCCAAGAAAAATAAAGGAAATACAATTGCAAAGAAGATTCTAAAACTTGATACCTGAGGTTATTACTGTGAATGATTATGCTAGACTTGCCCTTTCACACTTACGGAGATATCTTTCTACCAGAATAAGGAAGAAAAAGTTATCTCTTTATTGGTTCTGTGAACTGGAAACTGATCAAAGGCAGTCAAGAAGGGAAAAATAAAAAAGGAAAACATACCATAAACACCATTAACTCAAGGGCACAGCTGAATTGTCTAGACTTGATGTCCAAACATCTGCAATAGACCTATATGAAGAAACAAGATTGATAGAGCTAAGAAAAAATCTTTAAATATAACATCTTGTATTAATGGTCTATGGTTTTAAATTAATTAACTCACTATCTCATTTTGTATTTTATAAAATCAGACTTATAAAACTTTATGGTTGAGGGCAGCTACGTGGCGCAGTGGATAGAGCTCTGGCCTTGGAGTCAGGAGGACCTGAGTTAAACTTAAATTAATTAATTAAAAAAAAAAAAAACTTCATGGTTGGAAGGGACCTCAGCAGCTACCTCATGTAACTCATACTTTAAAAAGAATTCTCTCTACCACACACTGGACATCCAGTCTTTGCCTTAAGACCTCCACTGAAAGGGAACCTACAATATCCTAAAACAACACATTCTGTTTTTGCAGAGCCCTAATTGTTAAGAAGTTTCTCCTTACACCAAATCTAAATTCACCTCTCTGAAACTTCTACCTATTGTTCCTACTCCTATTTGTAGCTTAGCCCCAGTGTCTGGCACATACATAGCAAATGTTTAATAAAAGCTTGTTGACAACTTGACTACTTCTGCCCTTACAATCCCTCTTCCAGGTGACAAGCCCTCCAAATATTTGACAACAACTATCATAGCCTCCCGGCCCATTCCCAGCTATGTTTTTTCTTCTTCAGTCTAAACATTCCCACCTCACATTCTTCAACCAATCTTTGCCTTGACTATCCCCAGAACCTCCTAATTGGCTTCCCTGCTTCCAGTATCTCTCCTCACCAAACTATCCTCCACATAGCTGCCAAAATGATATTCCTAAAACACAGATCTGACCATGTCACTCCTTTCCTCTTTTCCTCCCTTCCTCCCATCACACACACACACACACACACACACACACACACACAACACACACACCACACCATTTAATGATGCTCTGTTACCTCTAGGATAAAATATGAATTGCTCAGACTGGATTTTAAAGTCCTCCACATTTTGCCTACTTTCCAAATCTTTTGTCTTATTATTCTCCTTCCTATATTATACAGTCCAGTCAAACTGGTCTTCTAGCTGTGTTCTGTCTACGACATTCTATTTGTGGCCTCCATCCCTTTGTACAAGGGGTCACCCACGTTGGGAATGAACTCCTTCCTGATCTTCACCTTAGAGGATCCTTAGCTCCCTTCAAGCACAACTCAGGGGCCAGCTCCCAGGAGGCCATTCCTAGGTGAGCATTGAGAATAAGGATTATTTTAGCTATATCTTTGTATATATCAGCATGCTATACTTAGTAGGTACTTAATAAATGTTTACTATATTGAATTTAATTGAAATCAAGGACTTCATCATCCTAGCTGCTTTCCTCTTGACATTCTCCAGCTTATCAATTTTCTTCTTAAAATTTGGTTCCCAGAATTGATCACAATAGGGTCTGACTAGGATAGAGTGGGTCCATCACCTCTTTCACCTCTTTGTTTCTGGACACTGTGCCTTTCTTAATGCAACCTACGATCATTTTAGCTTTTCTGGTAGTCATATCATTCTGCTTACTCATAATGAACTAGAAGGTCACTAAAACTCCTGCTCAGTCTCTCTCAGACAAACATGTCTAACTACACCTGCTCCATTTTACTTGTGAAGGTGATTTTTTAAACTTAAGTATAAGACTTTACATTTATCCCCATTAAAATGAATCTTACCAAATTTGTCCCAATATTCTATCCTATCAAGATCTTTTTGAATCCCGATTCTACTATCCAATATGTTTAAGTATCCTTCCCAGCTTTGTAACATCTGAAAATTCAAAAGGCATACCATCTAGGCCTTTATCCAATTCACTGATAAAAATCTAAGATTGCATAGGGCCAAGCACAGATTCCTGCAGAGATATACTAGAGTCACACTTCCTTTCCAAATTGACATCAATTCAAGTTAACAAGTATTTATTAAACATTTAATTTGTGCCAGGCATTGTACTAAGTACTAGGGATACAAAGAAGCCCTCAAGGAGCTCACAATCTCTTGAGGGAAGAGGAGAAAATATGCAAAAAACTATATATGAATTATACATATAGATTTCATATCCTGTGTTTATATAGATATGTTTGTGTGTATATGTGTGTATGTGTATATATGTATTATACACATATGCATATATATACACACATAGGATATGAAATATATTTTTCATGTATATAAACACACATTATATGTATACATACGCACAGAAGATAAATTGGAGATAATTTTGTAGGGAAGGCACTAAACTAAACTTAAAGAAACCTGTGAAAGGCTTCCTAAAGAAGATGGGATTTTAGCTGAAACTTGAAGGAAAAAGGTAAAACAAGAGGCAGAGATAAGGAAGGAGAGAATTCCAGGCATGGAAGAGTTCCAGTGAAAATGCTCCAGAGTTAGGAGATGGAGAATCTTATATAAGGAACAGCATGAAGGACAGTGTCATTGGATCACAGAGTACATGGTAGGGAGTCAAGTGTAATAAGATGAGAAAGATAGGAAGGAACCAAGTTATGAAGGACTTCCAAAGCCAAACAGGACTTTATCATTGATCCTTAAAGCAAGTGGGAGCCACTGGAGCACATGAAGCAATTATTAACCATGAATTTAGTTTCTTCCATTAACCAATTGTGGATACACCTAATTATATTAGATTTTAGCCCACAGTTTTCCCCTTTTCCACAAAAACAGCATTACAGCCTTTATTAAATGGTTAAAATCTAAGTAAATCACATCTACTGAATTCTTCTCATCTGTTAGCCAATGTACGTTGTCAAAAAGGTTAGTTTGTCATGACCTGTTATTGACAATGCCAAACTGACTTCCTGTCACCATTGCTTCCACTTCTAAATGCCCAACAGAATTAGTTACATAGTACTTTGTAGAGTTTTACCAGAAATTGAAGTCAAGATTACTGGCCTATTGTTTATAGAAATACCTTTTTTTTTTTTTAAATATATTGGGGCAACATCTGAGATGGGGACATCAAATAAGATAATATTGGTAAAGTGCTTAGCACTTATTGATAAATGTTTGTTTCTTTCCTTCCTTCCTTCTTGTCTTTCAACAATCACGGACACTGACTCAGCATTCACATCAGTACATTCTTTCAGGACCCTAGAAAGAATCTCATTTGGGCCAGGTGACATGAACTCCTGAAGACCATCTAACTGCTCTCTAATTATCCCCTAATTTGTCTTAGATATCAACTCCCTATTAACCATTTTGGTTCTGTCCCTCCAATACAAAGATCATTCTCTTTGATAAAAGAAAACCAAAATAAAAATCAAACTTCAATATAGTTAAAACAACAACAACAAAAACCCCAAACCCTTTGTCTTTCTGTTGTCTTTGGCTTTCTTCATCTGCCTCAGGTGATTCTCAGCTTTTGCATTCCTGACACAGTTTTTTTTTAATAACTTTAAAAAAAATTAATAATTTATTTTTAGTTTTCAACATTCATGTCCATAGGATTTTTAGTTTTAAATTTTCTCCCCCTTCCTCTCTTCTCCCCTCCCCAAGATAGCATGTAATCTGATATAGGCTCTACTTACACATTCATATTAAGCATATTTTCACATTAGTCATGATGTATAGAAGAATTAGAACTAATGAGAGGAACCACGAGAATGAAGCAAAAAAAGAAAAGAAAAGAAAAGGAGAGCCAATAGTATGCTTCCCATCTGCATTTAGACTCCATGGTTGTTTCTCTGGATGTGAATAGCATTTTCCATCTTGACTCTTTTGGAGTTGTCTTATATCCTTACATTGCTGAGAAGAACCAAGTCTACCAAAGTCAGTCATTGCACAAAGTGGCTGTTACTGTGTATAATGTTCTCCTGGTTTTGCTCATTTCACTCAGCATCAGTTCATGTCTTTCCAGGTTTTTCTGAAGTCCGCCTGCTCATCCTTTCTTATAGCTCAATAGTATTCCATTATATTCATATACGATAACTTGTTCAGCCATTCCTCAATTGATGGGCCTCCCCTCAATTTCCAATTCTTTGCCACCACAAAAAGACCTGCTATAAATATTTTTGTACATGTGGGTGCTTCTTTGATTTTTATGATCTCTTTGGGATACAGACCTAGAAGAGGTACTGCTGGGTCAAAGGGTATGCACAATTTTACAGCCCTTTGGGTATAGTTCCAAATTGCTCTCCAGAATGGTTGGATCAGTTCACAATTCCACCAACAATGCATTAGTATTCCAATTTTCCCCTAGTATGTCTGGGCAGTTTTCTTTCATGATTTCCTGAAAGATACTGTCCAGGCTCTTTTTTTCATCATGGATTTCAAGTAAACCAATAATTTTTAAATTCTCTCTCCTGGATCTATTTTCCAAGTCAGTTGTTTTACTAATGAGGCATTTTACATTTTCTTCTATGTTTTCATTCTTTTGTTTCTGTTTGATTCTTGCTCTCTCATAGAGTCATTAGCTTCTACTTGCCCAGTTCTAATTTTTAACGAATTATTTTCTTCTTTTAGATTTTGTGCCTCCTTTTCCATTTGGCCAATTCTACTTTTTAGGGACTTAGTGTCTTCATTGTATTTTTTTTTTCCATATGGCCAATTGCAATTTTAAGGACTTGTTTTCTACTGTTAATTTTTGTCCTTCATTTTCCAAGTTATTGACTCTCTCTTGCATACCTCTTATTTCTTTTCCCAACTTTTCTTCTATTTGACTTTTAAAATTCTTCTTGAGCTCTTCCAAGAAGGCTTTTGGGGCTAGAGTCAAGTTCATATTTCCCTTTAATGTTTCGGTTGTGGGTATGTTGATAATGTTGTCCTCTTCTGAATTTGTGCCTTGATCTTCCCTGTCTCCATAATAAGAATCTATGGTCTTCGTCCATTTCTGCTTTTTGCTCAAGGTGTTTGCCTATTTCCTGATTTTTAAAAAAAGTTGAGCTCTCCTGCTGGAGTGTAGGGGGCACTGACCCAAGCTTCTTGTGCTGGAAGCCCCAGACCTGGTCACTGGCTTTGTGTTCTGGGGCCTCAGATGCTGGCAGTTAGAGGCT